TTTTTTTTTTTTTTTTTTTTTTTTACAGTTTAAATAGATTAGAATTATGGAATCATAAGTGAAGGATAAACTTTCTTATTGATAAGGATTAGGAAAAGGGTTTCTGTTCTACAATAAAACAATTCTGTTTACAACATGTATGTCTTGAACAATTCAAAATAATGATAATGCAGTTAACATCAAAAGGAAATTTGCACATACTCTTCTGGGATCATCATTATTAGAACTCCTTTGTTAATTTCACATTAGAATTATAAATGTATATACAAATGAATTGTGCATAAATTGTAGAGGACTAGGATCTTTGTTTAAAGTAAAGTAAAACTAAGTGGGGACTGGTGTCAGAATAAGAATTTGAATATTTTTTTTCTGTAGCAAACACTCCTGTGGTACACTCGATTCTGTATGTTGTGCCAAATTAGACATTTCTGGGCAGGTCTTGCCTTCCTATTCTTGAATTACACCTTTTTGGTTTTGATTGAGGTTTTTGGGTTCAATAACAACTTAAACATTAATAGCAACTAAAAAGTTGTTTTCTTAACAGAGTCTAATTTTTAAGATTCTGCAGTTCTCATGGTATTTTTTTTAAAAGTCTGCGAGAATTTTCTAAGAATGGTATCTCTTCTTGAGAGACATGCAGAAAATTTGGCAAGCCTGTGCATTTCCTGAAGTTTTAAAGTCATTTTTGCTTTTTACTTGAACTATTATTGTATTATACTTACAGTATTTAGTAAGGCATCGTAAACAACATTCACAAATTTAGCACTGATTCCAGAATCTTCAATGGTATCAAATGGGGCATTAGCATCTTTCTGCAAGTTTAAAATTACAATACATAAATTGATTAAAATGTAAATGTTTAATTTCCAATATTAACTTCCCTTAAAAGCAAGTTATTATGTCATAGTACCAAATTTTAGAAAGAAGAATGCAGATAATAAACTAAACTGATGACATACTTGTCACAACTGATAAAAAAAGAACAGGTTTCTTATTTGGTTCTATATTTCCAATTCTAATACAAGAATATACAGTTCTGAATATAAACAAAATTGGCATCAATCCAATGTGTCAAAAGTCTAAAGCAGGGGTGTTCCCAGGGCAATCCAAGGTGGGGGCAGGCTCAGAGGAGGGAGTTCTGGCTCAAGCAGCAGATACACAGCATCCTGGAAGTGAGATGCCCCCCAGCCCCACCCCTTCCAGGGCCATCCCAGGGCTACAGGGAAGCTGCAGGCATGGAGCTCACTCACTCCTGGCAGTCACTGTGGTGGCTGAAGATGCATTTCTGCAGGCTGTCCAGGGTCATAAGGCCCAGTTGCTCAAATATATCCAGGGAGGGGGAGCCTGATAACACCAGTCGCCGCCACTTGGCCTGTGGGATAATGGTGCTCCTGAGTGCAGTGCCCAGCAGCCACGTGCAGGGATGTCCTGCACACCTGGCCCAGGCACTTAGAGAGGCATCTTAGAGAGGCTTGTTCAGGTTGGCGAGGGGAAGGCACTGGTGTGGGGACTATACTATGTGGGCCATAGGAGAGGGTGCAGTGCTAGGGTAGAGGGCAAGGGAGAAGCCTGCGCTCTTGTTAGGGGACACAGGTCTGGCAGTGCACATAGGCAGTAGGGCAGGGTGCTAGTACAGCAACGGTGCAGGGGTGGGGCACTCACATGCATGATGTTGGTGCTCTGGTTGAAGATCTTCACGTAGGGCTTCAGGATGTTGAAGTGAAAGGCCGGTGTCAGCATATGCCGGTGCCATCCCCACCTCTGCCCATTGCTCAGCAACAGACCCTCCCCTACAATAACAGCGCTCGGCTCACAACCTGGAAAGACTTCTCCCAGACCCTGTGTCCCAGCTCAGATCAGCCTGCAACCCTGGAAATCCTGCACATAGACTGCACCTGATCCATGGAGCTGCCCCCCACCCCCAACCATGCCCCAAGGGAGCTCCTGAGCATGCTGGATCCACGGCAAAGTCCTCACCCCGAGGCACAACCCCAACCCTGAACACTGCCCAGTGCCAGGGATGGCTCTTCTGCCCCACAAGTTCCACTGGGCAGCAGCACAACTTGATACCAAGCACAGGGGACCAGAGGAGCCCAGGGCAGGGCTCACTTACCCAGCCAGGGCTTTAGGAACCCATAAAACAGGGGATCCTTGGGGACAACGGCAACTGGGGAGTAGAGCAGAAAGGGCATGACATGAGGTTAATGCTCAGGCACATGCAGCACAGAAGGCAGGACAGCCTCAGGCTCAGGGCTTGGGCACACACAGCCTGGTGGGACAGGTGCCAGGGTTGGCCCTTGCACAAGCAGCCTGGCAGGGACAGAGTTAGGGCTCAGGCCCACATATAGCACAGCAGGGGCTGCCAGGCCATGTAGAAAGGGAAGGCATCAGGGTCTCTGCTCTCACATGCAGCACCAGAGCCCTGGCACCTGCCCAGAGGAAACTGCAGGCCCCCATCCAGGTGGGGCATTCCCCTGGCCTGGATTAGCTCCGTCCCACCCCCTGCTTGCCCATGGGTATGAGATGTAAGGGACCCCATGGTCTGACTTCTAGGAGTGTCTGGACCCAGGCACCAAAAAGGACAGTGGAAGATGCCATGAGCAGCACCAGTTCTGCTACGGGCCATGAGGCAATGTCATCTTGTGTGCCATGTCACTGCACTCAGGGCTGGCTGTGGAAGGTCTGACTGCAGGAGGGCTGCCAGGGACCCTGGGGGGGCCGGGTGAGCAGGGCACTGTGGGGTGCTAGGTAGGGTTTCTATGGGGGAGGGGCAAGTGGCCTCTCACAGTAAAAGCCTCATGGGTGCCCGGTGCTGACTGGGGGAGAGGAGTTCACCCATCAGGCACCTGCAGTACACTGTGCTGAGGCTGGGGAAACAGGACCGCTCCACAGGGCTCCTGCTGGGTCTCAGCAGCCTGCACACACTGGCAATTCCCACTGATGTCCCAAAGGGTGGGGGCACCTCTGCCACCTGTGGCTGATGGGTGAAGCCCTCTCACCCCTCCGCCTGTGTCCCTGCTGTGCTGGTTCCTGCACACACATTGCTGGGACGGCACAAGGGCCTTCTGCGAAAGTGCTGCCTGCCCAGCCCAGGGAGTGGCCCCAGGAGCCCCACATCTTCCAAATGGTTCCCAGCACACACTGCCCTTGGTTACCTGATGCCTGCAACACGGGCTTAATGGCCTCTGGGTGGAAGAGCCTCACAATGGGGCGCCAGGGCCCAAGCCACCAGAGGCAGGAGTGGCTGTAGTGCCTGACCAGCTCCTCAAAGCTCTGCAACCCCTCCTCTGTGCTCTGCACCTGCAACGAGGGACCACCCATCAGCCAAGGCCACCAGGGACCTACCCACATCTGCAGCCAGGAGAGGCTGGCTCAACCACACCCCTGCCACAGCTGTCCTCGGCACAGGCCTCCTAACCTGCAAACAACAGGCAAATACATAGTGTTGGTTTCACCATTAAGAACCATACTGTCAGCTGAATGACTGAATTCCCTGCTGGCATTAACAAGCGCCTCATGACTCTGCTTCCAACTGACCAACAATTCATTTGCTACTAACATCAGTGCATATGCCCCAACACTCAATGCTGAGAAAGAACAGAAAGAATAGTTTTGTGCTGATCTTGATGAAATCCTGACTACCATGCTAAAAGAGGACAAGGTATCCTCCTTGGTGGCTTCAATGTGAGAGTTGGCCAGGACTTTAACATGTGGAGGGGCACCATTGGAAAGAAAGGAGTGGGCGACACCAATTCCAGAGGCAAACTTTTACTCAGTAAATGTGCATAACATGACTTTGTCATTACTAACACTGTCTGCAGACAACAAGGCAGGAAGAAAACAACATGGCAACACCCCTGCTCGAAACAATGACACCTCCTTGACTACATCATCATAAGAGCGTGAGATCTAAAAGATGTCTATATCACACATGTCATGAGAGGAGCTGATGACTGCTGGACCAATCATTTAGTGACATCAATCATGTCCATCAGGATTGTGTTGAAATATTGAAAGCAACTAAAATCACTCCAAAGATAGTAAAACATCAAATGCCTTCAGACCCCTAAGACACTGCAAAGCCCTCCAATCACATCCTAGTAAGAAACTCACCAATTTTAGGATTAAAAATGTTAACAAGTGTTGAGGATGATTGGCAAGCTCTAAAAGAGACCATTCCATGCAAGAGGCTTATATGGAATCAACTGGTTTTGCCCCCTGATGCCATCTAGTTTAATGAAAACAATGCTGAGATCAAAGCCCTCCTTGATCAGAAGAGAAAAGTTTTCTGTGACTGGCAAAACCATCCTATGTCCAGTCAGAAGCAGGGAACTTTTCAGGTGCTTAAAGCTGAAACCCAGATGAAGATTCAACAATCAAGAACAAATGGTGGGAAGAAAAACCAAAAGAAATCCAACAATTTGTTGATAATCATGACATGCAGAGCTTCTTCAGTGTAATCAAGGCTCTGTACAAAGCAAATTCTTGTGGACTCATCTTGCTTAGACCTGAAGACTGCAGTACACTCCACAAGGACAACAAGCCCATCAAAAACTGCTGGAAGACGCAGTACCAGAAGCTGAGAATTGACAGTGACTGATGAAACTATCAAATCCATCCTGCAGCATTCAGTAAGGGAAGCACTTGCCAATCCATCAACCCCTGAAGAAGTCCACCAGGCAATAAAACAGATGGAGAACAACAAACCATCTGGCCCTGATGGCATACCAGCTGAGGTCTTCAAAGTTGGTGGGGAAACTATAACCAACAAGCTCCAGCCACTGTTTCTTAAGATCTGGAACACTGAGGAATTCCCACTGACCTATGGAATGCCACTATAGTCACCGTTTTCAAAAAGGAAGATCAGTCTGACTGTGGAAACTATCAAGGTATTGCCCTCCTCTCCACTGCTGGGAAGATCCTAACTC